AGCTCCACAAGAATACACCTTTCATCAACAAGCTAGAGGCGCATCTTACACGAAGTTTTTACAATGAAAGCGGTGAGCTCATCGAGCTGATTCTTCGTGAGGGGCACGAAGAGGGCCTTCACAGGCGACCACTCCAGGGCCACCTCGCAGCCGGCATCCAAAACACGCCTGTGCAGCTCAGTCAGAGGACCGGTGGCATCAAAGAGCAGCTCGTTGACATGCGGGGCGTTGGCCTTCCGAGTGAGCCGGAAGCAGATCACGCCGGCGGAGCTCAAGGGACCCCTTTCAACTCTGCTGTTGCGCACCGCTTTCATTACATCGTCATGTTCCTTCCTTGCAGCAGCATCCTCATCTTTCATCTCAGCATCAGGGGCTTCCGTGGCCTCGGCCGCTTCTGAAGGATGTCACAAGCTGCCAGTGTCTCAGCATCCTCCAGTGCCCTGGGCTACTTCCGGGGGCTTCTAATGTTTGGGGAGCGCCGACTGCAAGAGCTCCTCCTCGAGCCCATCCAGCACGCACGCAATCTCAGGCCTCTGAGCAGCGAAGGAGAGGACGATGTTCACAATCGCCTTCGGCACCTCATTCCCATGGCCCCAGGTGAGCAGAACCTGATAGATGCCCAGCCCCATTGGAGCAGCCAGGCGCTGAGCACATGCAAAAGCCGCGCGCAGAGCGGCCCCGGCAGCCGCGCGGCGCTCGGACAAGCTGGATTCTGGGGTGCTCACAGGTGCTGGGAAAACTCCACAGTGGTCACACAGTTTGTTCGACAAGCATGCTTTGCGAGTCCACTGTGTGACGGAGGCGGCTGTGCAGGATGCCAGCAGCTCCGCGCATGCTGTCTGTCCCCAATAAACAGCCATGTCCAAAAGATGAGCGGGAGCAGATGGCATCTCTATCAATGCTCTGCATGCTGGACACGCCACAAACGTAAACTCGGAGAGCGCCATATTTGCAAGTGAGACCGTTCTGAGCCGGTCTATGCAGAGCCCACACTTCCCGTCTACAAAAAATAGACGCCCCGAACGAGGTATCTTCGGGAGCCACGGTCCTTGGCCCTCTGGCAGCAGCGGACTCAGCCGCTGCCAGAGCTGCAGGTCGCCACAAAGCGCAATGGATTCTCGCAAAGGAACGGAATACTGCGAAGAGCGAGGTCTGAAGCTGAGCCCTTGTAGGGCCGCGCCCGAAAGGATGGCGGCTGCCATGACATCCACCGCTGAAGCCAACATGCGGTACGGCAATCTGCCTTCGAAGAGGTCCTCAGAGCACCAGCGCCTCAGGGGCCTCCGCGTGCAGCGCTGGGCGCACTGCTGCGCCAACTCCGCATCCCCCGTGAGGATGGCCAAGTCCAGCAGCCGGGCCATGGCCGCTTCCGAGATTACGAGGTTGCTGAAATCCTTGCCTGAGCGTATGGCCGCAAGCACCGCACGGGCCACGGGTCGTCCTGCTGCCTCGCGGGCCGCTGCGACCGCATCCGCGAGCTTTGCGCCCCAGTCCTTCATCCACACGCCATTTTCAATGTCAGAGCCCCAGCAGCAGAAATCGCAGGTTTTGCAGGAGCTGGTGCACCAGCAGTCAACGCCCACAGCTCTTGTGTTTTCAGCAAACGACCCCAGATGCCAGGACTCCAAACTGCAGCCGGGGACCCCGTGCTTGAGCAAAGCAAGTGCTGTGCTCTGATGGCCGAAGGCGATGCAAAGCTCGAAGAGGTGTTTCGACTGGACCTCCTGGCTGAGCTGCTGAATGTCGCCCGCGAGGATGGCCTGTGCCACTTCGAACTCCTCCACGTCCGCGATCTCGCCCTGCCAGTTGTACCGCACGAGCTCCGCCGCCATGAGTGCTCGGCCAGAGTTGCAGGCTACTTCCCCTGTTCTCTGAGCCCGGAGCTTCTGCCATGAGTTGTAGAAAGAAGAACAGATCAAGGTGGCAGCACCTTCTCCAGTGCCATTTTGAAACTTCACATAGCAGTTGTGTTGGTGCTGAAAAATATCGCGGTCTGGGGCCTCATGCCACCTAAAAGAGACTGCGAAGGAGAACATTCTGTGTATGCATGAGGAAGCTGCCACAGAGCGACTTTAAAACGCGCAGGGCCCTCCTACTGCAAATGCCTGCGTCCGCCTGAGCGCAAGCCAGGGGCTCAACGGGACTCAGAACATGGCGGAAACAAACGTCTCCGACAACAAAAGCCACAAGAAGTACCCACAGCAGAAATGAACATGTTATTTAAAAAACGATGCAATTCGCACTTGTCGCGTGAGCTAAACGAACTACAAGATAATGGTAGATCCTGTTTTCGTTGACGAAGCGGCTGGACACGAACTGCAATATTGTAGCAAACAGGTCGCATCAAGACTGATCAAGCATAGAGAGCAGCTCATCATGACACATGTCCGCACCGACAACAGCAAATGTCCGTGAAGCGGCTTTTACAAGCACCAGGCCTTGCTCATCAGGCCAGGCATGAAGAAGCCCAGCCGATCATGTCCTGTGCTCCGGTGCTTCAACTGTAACTGCGGCATGCCCCAAAAGGGCTCATGTAGACTCGTGATTCATAAAACCCCTCCTTTTAAGGGCCTTAATATTTGGATCCGTATTATAGCCCCCACTTAGGGGGGAGGTATTAATCACGGGTCTACAGTACACGAAGCAACACCTGAACTGTGGCTGCGGGTGAGCAAATCGGTTGTGGCAGGGCTGTCTCCCAGATTGGAGGTTCCCTGCATACACCTGGGATTCTGAGAGCAGGGGTTACATGAATAAGGGACACATCCCTACTGCAAAGCCCTATGATAGCCCATGATCAGCAAGCTTGCATATCTAGTCAGCACCTTCCTGATTTGGCACAACTGCCCATATCAACTACAACTGACACTTTTGGGTGGCCTTGTTCTTAGACTGTTATAGATATAATATATAATGTGTGTGTGTGTGTGTGCGTGTGTGCGTCGACACACACATAGAGAGAGAGAGAGAGAGAGAGAGAGTGAGAGAGAGAGAGAGAGAGAGCGCACTTTGCATGCATTGCTACCCATCTCCTATGTCTCCTATTGTCATGCCCGCTGTAAGTCTTTTTCTTTCATTGGTGAACGCCAGAGCGGCTACCCTAATGCTACCCCTAATGCTACGACTCCATCAAATGCTAAAATGAGTAGTGTTTCTTTTGGTGGTTGAACCTAGTAAGATTATATTCCTTATATAAAATACTATACCTCAAAAGGAGGATAGAATTTTACTCTATATTGGGTACCATAGTATCCCCCAGAAAAATACTACTCAAATGACGACCCTAAACCCTAAACCCTAAACCTTCTGCCTGGCCTCCCTTTGAGTGAGACCCCTGGCACACGTGCCACAGCCCGCCTCTCCACATCACAGCAATGACTCCTCCTGCAGCCGACAGGTGGACTTAGGGCCTGCCGATATGGGGGGTTTAGTGGGCCGTGTGAGGTTTGGGGTTGAGGAATTGAGGGGTTTAAGGGTTTAGGGGTTTAGGGCTTTAAGGGTTTTGGGGTTGAGGGCTTTAAGGGTTTTGGAGTGGAGGGGTTTAGGTGTTTAGGGGTCAGGGGCGTAGAGCTGGGCCATGCCGCAAGTCAAAGCTCCGTTTGAAAGACCCTAGCAGACCAGGGGTAGAACACCGCCACAGACCCTACACTTATTGGGATTCAGGGATAGGTTTTAGGCTTTAGGCTTCGTAGGGAAGACGGGAAGATATTACAGGGAGACTCTCTCTGTGTAGCAAGGAACGAAGGGTAGGGACCACTGCTTTTAGGGTTTAAGGTTTAGGGGATTAGGGTTTAGGGCCTTTAGGGGATTAGGACCCTAAACCCTAAACTCTAAACTCTGTATGATCCATTCCTTCATTCCTTGCTAGCCATAGGTAAACCTTTTGCAAGAAGGCCCTCTAAACCACGTGCCAAAATTATAGTCCCCCTTAAGTAAATAAAATCTGGGGTTTATGGGGATCGTAATATAATATACCCGACGCCATACTCCATTTACTTAAGGGGGACTATATGCTCTATAGGTAGATTTGTGTTGCTCCTGTCAGCCGGATCGACCGAGGCAAGCCAGGGACTTGAAAGAACACAAACCCCCAAAGCTCCCCCAAGCCTCGGGTATTTCTCATAACAATCCCTACCCTAAACCCTACACCCTCAACCCACATAGAGACTTCCCAGTAGGTACTCTCACATCCATTCGCGATCCCTGCAAATCCATAAATAGTAGTTTCCATTTTCCTTTCCACTATCGCAAAAAAATCCCCTATATACCCGCCACAGGCAATATCTAGGGTTGCTAAGGGCCCCTCTAGCAACTCGACACAGACGACACCTCGACAAGTCTGCAGGCCTGAGAGCTAAGCCTATATGTTTAGGGTGTAGGGTTTGGGGTTTACAACTGAGGGGGTTTAGGGTGTAGGGTTTGTGTTTACAACTGAGGGGGTTTAGGGTGTAGGGTTTAGGGTTCAGGGTTTTGAGGGTTTAGGGTTTAGAGGTTTGGGGTTTAGGGAGAACATCTGGCCAGGAAGACTCAAATCCTGGCATGTAGCCATCTTACAACCGCATAGAGACATGCGTAACCATCTTACAATCAGTATATATGTCGGAAATAACGAGCTATCCCGCGTGCCGGTATCCAGCACAGGGTACTTACTGGGGTTAGTAAGGAATGCGAGAATAAGCAGGCCGGACTTGGAATGATCCAATTTCTCATCCAATTTGATTCAGGTCCAGGAGCCTCTGCGGATTCTGCGGACACCCGCAGAAAAGGTATACACACAAACATGCGCCTTTGAGGGATAGTACCTGAAGATCGAAAAAAAATGCATGTGGGACTAGTGGAGATGAAGGATCGTACCCCAAACACGATTTGAGGCCTCTCTGCCCTGCCCCACCTAGTCCCACCGCGTCTTCACATGGATCAACTGCCGAGACTTGGGGGCTTGATCAAAAACAGCTTGTTCGCGTCTAAGCTGTTGGAAGTTTCTCAGGGCTTTCCTCACCACGTACCGTTCTAGCTTGGGGTTTGGCTTTGCGAAGGACTGCTTCAAAGGACGAAGCTGACTACGTCATGGCTTGGGATTCGAGCATCGTCGAAGGCTGGGGCTGACGGCTGACGCATTGTGGGATTGGCTGTGCAACAAAGTAAAACACCTTCAGGTGAGCGCTGGCCAGTATGAATAAAATGCTAGAAATCAGGTCTCAAACCCCCCATACGCCCATCACTAGAGTCACTAAAGCTCCTTTGTTGTTGCTGTGCCTCCTTGAATTGGGCTACCTAACCCAAACGTAATCCTCAACTACCCCAAGCCCTAAACCCTACCCCTTCCCCCCTGACTGCGCATTTGGGGTATACGCATGGCATCTACGTTGCCTTGGAAGCTGCGCTCTACGATGCTTCACGCGGGGAATCGTCAAGCCCTGAGGTCTAATCCTAAATCGGGTTGCCGTTAAGGAACTTAAAGTAAGTTACTATAAGAAGGAAACCCAATTATATACTATATACCCTTTATATTCTGGTAACTTAGTTACTATAAGGAGGAAAGCGCACTATTTACTATATACCTGGCAACTTCAATTAAGTTCCTTACCAGCACCCCAGTGAACCCCTAAACCCTGTCAACCCCGACCCCCACTCAGCTCCGCCTTGGGAACATTGAATGCTGCGAGCAGCAGCGTTGGCCGGAGGTGATTTGAACTGACAGCCCTCGCGTCACTGATCCACTCCCAAGCGCAACTGCCGTGTATCATCCGAACCCTGCTCCCAAAGCTGAAATCTGAACAGCCCCCTCCCCCTCCCCCCAGAAGTTTCTCCCAAATTTAACGCTCGTAAACCCTAAATGCCCGGGAGCCTAGAGCGGGCGCAGCATCTTTCAGCCCGCCCTCCACACGGAGCGAAATACAAAGAACATCTGAGTAGGTTTTTTTTGGTGGTAAAACCCAGTTAAATAGGGATAATGGAAAAGAAAATGGAAACTACTATATTATAACAGGGTATATATTGGGGGTATATTGAGGTTATATTAAGTAATGGTTTTTTTGGTGGTTGAACCTAGTATAACATTATATTCCTTATATGAAATACTATACCCCAAAAGCAGGATAGAATCTTACTCTATAATGGGTACCATAGTATCCCCAAATAAACTACTACTCATCTGGGTTGCTATCAAGGAACTTAAAGCAAGTTACCATAATATGTGCATTTAGGGTTTAGGGGCTAGGGTCACCATAAAAAGGGTATACAGTAGTAAATAATGGGGCTTTGTTATAGTTTATATGGTACCCTAATTTAAATTCCTTAGCAACAACCTGAGGAGTTTAGGGCCGGTCGTCGATGTGGCTTTTGCTACGTGCTCTCAGTCCTCAGCCTGTTGAAAATACTACCACTTACGTGGTGTAGGGTTTAGGATGGTTTAGGGTTCAGGGTTTAGGGGTTTGTTTAGGGTTTAGGGATTTGGGGGTTTGGGGGTTTGAGGCTTAGGGGCTTTTCTTATAGGATGCTAATTGGAAACTTACTGTGCCCAAGAAAGCGACAGCGCCCGTCAATTGCACAGTCGCTGTTCGCGCTGTGAGCTGCGGCCCCATAAGCTATTGCAAACCTCTTTGAAATACAGCGCATTCCTGCAAGACAGAATGCTCCGAAAAGATCTCCATAACTTTCTGCTTGAAGGCGAGCGGCATCCAAGCACCCCTTCAACCAAAAGAGGAAGCACCATGGAAGTCAGGCTGTTGGGGCAAGAACGTCAGAAGATCAAGTCCCCAAAGATGTCTCCCAAACTGTCCCAAACCACACAGCACTGAATTGACTAAAACTTAAAACCCTGGAATCCTGAAAGTTGAAATGCAGCACTCCGAACAACGAATCTTGGGACCCGACGCGTCCGCGACCCTAAGCCCTTAACAACCTAAACCAAACAGGTTTATGACTCAAACTCCGAGCTCTCTAAGCGAGGCCCTGAAACATGTACACCGGCTCTGATGCTTAGAGTGTGGCCACTCTTTCACGACTGTCCTCAAAGCTTGTCCTGCCTGGCAGCAGTCGGCCTACAGTCCACACTCGAGCGTTGAGCCCTAGAATAGGAGACCAACATTACAAATCAGCAGGGCTCAGGATGCTGTTTGTGGCAGATCGCACGCTTCAGGTGTGCTCGCGGGGTGACAGGAACCGTGGGCCCCATCACGAACATGATGTAATGCATAGGTCATTCACTTACCTGCCAAGGAGCAAATGCTGTGATGTTCACTTCAAATTGCTGCGCAGCTGAGGTCGCAGCCCGATAGAATGCATTCGTGAGGGCCTGCGCCGCCACGGAGTTGTTCATGATTTCTAGACCCTGCATGTGGGGTCACTCTTTCTAGGAGAGCTTACAGCACCAGGATCGTGGCGGCAAATTCCAACGACCCCACTCGTTCAATTCAATGGTGGAAGTCTCGGCAAATTGGGTAAAAGTCACCATCGTTCCTGGCAATGAGCCACTTGCAGCTTACTACCCGCTGCAACCCCTCAACAATGTCTCACGTGCTTGCAGATCTCTACAGGAAGACTCATGTCATGGGGTAACTCAACTGCAAATATGACGACCTCTAAGTCTTGAGGTGGGTGATTCATTGCGAAGCAAGAATTAGGTATGTTAAGCCTCAGGGGATTTTTCTGTCTATGTCTCCTAAATGGGCACGACGCTGCAGTAGAATTGGTTAGAGTCAGAGGCGGGCAACTTACTCTTCCAACAATTTCTGCTCTCATCCACACAGCTACCGACCTCTCATATTAGGGTTTAGAGTTTAGGGTTTAGGGTCTTATATGCTTTCGTATGCAGAGGCCCAAGCTTCTGGGCTTTACAGTCCGCGACCGCTACCCACTAAACAAACGTGCAGCCCAGTCCTGTCACACCTGGGCCGAGGCATCGAAAACTGAACCCTAGCTACAGATCTTAAGAAACGGTCAAGGGAGCATGATCCAGCTTTCTACTATAGTACAGTATAATATAGTATAATAGAATATAATATAATATAGGTGGTATAGTACTAACAACTAAGACTGGGACCAATCTACGGTGAGATGAGAGGCAGGAGTGAAAGTCAAGTAGATGCGAATAGACTACCAAGCAAGACAACAAGAGATAAGAGCAACATTGCTTCGTAATAGTCAAGCGTAGCAGTCAATTCGGTAACATAGATTTTCAGAGTGAAGAACCGGGAGGAAGACAAGAATATGGAGGACAAACGCAACTGAGAGAACACGCTTTAGCAACCGGTACGCCAGCTTCTTTGCGATTTTTTCCAGGACGTCACCCTGCTAATGCATGGAACACGGGCGTGCGGTTCATATGGAAACAGAGTGTCTTTGACACCAACATTCATGCCAGTGTCCAGTGTAGCTGGCTTGGGCTGTGGCAGTACCTGGTCCTTTCCGGACTGCAAGCGCCTCTATGCCTTTTCATAATCACAGGATGTGTGCAAGTATCGCCTGGGCCTCAGCTGTAGGAAGCTATTCCAAACAGCCTCGCTGCTAGGCCCCATGCATGTATAGTCCCCCTTATGTAGATAGAATATGGCTTTGGGTACATTATAATAAGATCCCCATATACCCCATATTCTATCTACTTCAGGGGCACTATAATTGAATTGCGAATTGCATAACCCATTTAAACCATAAACTGTACATCGCGATGGGCGCCGGGGACTCCATAACCGATGGAGAGACCACGTACCCCCAAAGATGCACCAAGGCATCTGATTCAGGCTATAGTGGGATTAGGCATTCCTTGATAAAGCCGATGCAAGAGCTGGGTCGGAAGATTGGAGGCCTGAATATTAGTGGATCTGCGCTTTTGGAGGTCCTTTCTAACTGAAGCATCTTAAGGACTTCTTTCAGATCTCCATATGGAACCCAGAAGCTACTGAACAGAGGCGCAGAACTGCGCCCAGGGCTTGCCTGGGAGGTTGACGCAGTTTTGCCAATCGTCCCAGGAACTGTGCATGTGCTTGACCTTGTGGGCCTGTGCAGTCCTAAGTCAAAGAAGCACCTTCAAATGTGCAAAGATAACTAAAAGAGGCGAACGAATTCAAGGCGCTCGACCCGAAAATCTAGCCTCTGCAGCTAGCAGACCTCCGCGGTCATGTTGGCACCTTCGTGCAATGTCAGAGCCGGCGTTGACGCACCTCTAAGGGTCATATCCAAGGTTCTACGTGCCCCTGTGGTGTCAGGGTAGCTGAAAAGTTCATACAGTTGGAAAGTATATATGTATGTACGTAGACATGTGTGTATATATATAGAACATTGTACATAGTATGGTATATAATATAGTATGAATATGCCGTGGATGACAGCTACAGGGTTACAGGGCCTTGCGCTTGTTCTTGGGCATGCGTTTCCGCCCCGGAGGCGGAGCTTGGCGGCCAGGGCTCGAAAGACTTTCTGAGAATGTCCCACGCGAACTTCGCAGTGCCGCAAAGGATGGATCTCGGGTTGACCGAATCGCCATTTGCAGCGAATGGGCCTGTGTCAGGGCCTATATAGCCGGTAGGGGCCTAGGCTGAACACTACAGCTTTGGGGCTTGCGCTTCTCATCCTATTGGATCCCATAACCTTAAGCCAGTTCAAGCGAGCGCTCCTTCTTCCAACCTGTACATAACGCACGCAGGCACGCGGTAGATAAAGAACTCGACGCCGGTCGAGATCACACTGAGCGGGTTGTGGAGCTGGGAACAATCGTCAAAGCCCGCGTTCGCGATCTTTGCGTACATGTCGGCTTGGCAAGCCAATGCCACAACCACCAGGTGGAGGACCATTACAAAGGCGGTCGAGGATCTCAGCAGCTCGCTCCTCAGACCAGACATGACAACTCCCCACAGCAACATGAGAGCAAAATCTGCGCAGCCTCTACTTCTAAATACTATAGTCACGTAATTACTATACGTACGCTTTACTATAGCAAAAAACTTACGATAGCTTCTCGCTATAGAGCTAATAGTACCGGGATGTCAAGAGGGAGCGGATTTCTCCGCTCCCTCCAGCCTCCAGTCAGGTCTTTAATTGTAACAGCCATCCAAGATTGTAGTAGTAGTGGTAGTAGCAGTAGTAGTAGTAATAATAATGATAGTAGTAGCAGCAGTAGTAGTTGCTGTTGCAATAGTAGTAATAGTAGTAATAGTAATCATACTAGTAATCTTAATAATACTGGTAGCAGTAGTAATAGTAGTAGTAATAATAATACTAGTAGTAGTAATAATAGTAATAGTAGTAACAGTAGTAGTAGTAGTAGTGGTGGTAGTAGTAGTAGTAGTAATAGTAGTAATAGTAGTAATAGTAGTAGTGGTAGTAGTAGTAGTAGTAGTGGTAATAATAACAATAAAGATACTAATAGTAGTAACAGTAGTAGTGGTAGTAGTAGTAGTAGTAGGAGGCGCACGTCGCGCCAGCGACGGTGCATTATTATGCATTTCGGGTCCAAAAATACTGCACTCACCGGCATTTTTAGAAGGGACAGGGCATGAGTTGGGGGGGTTGGGAACTACTTGTTTTGAAGAGGTTGGTTTTCGGAGCTTGTTGTGCTTACAGTCGTCACGAACGTCACGAGCGTAGTAATCCCCTTTAGTATAATATTCAGTTAGGGCTCAGGGTTTAGGGCCTGGAGCTTAGGGTTTAGGGCTTAGAGCTTAGGGTTTAGGGCTGGGGGTTTAGGGTTTAGGTTTAGGGTTTAGGGATTAAGGTTTAAGAATTAGGGTTCAGGAACGAGGGTTTAGGGCTTAGGGTTTAGGTTTAGACCTTAGGGTTTAGGGTTTTTGAAAGTTTGAATGTTTCAGAAGTTTGTTTTCGGAGCTTGCTGTGCTTAGTGTCTTCACGACCTCAGGAACCTAGTAATCCCTCTTACTAATATTCGGACAAGCTTTCTCACAGGTTTTCCTAAGTTTGTGGGATTTGTTTTCGGAGCTTGTTGTGCTTACTGTCCTGTAAGGAAAAACCTACCGTCAGCTACGCGACGTTATAGTAGCCATCGGGTTACTTTTCTGTCCGGCAAAAACCACAGTTTTTTTGGATTGCATTCGGCCACCAGAGCATCCATGCCCAAAGCAGAATAACGCTCGTCTTCCAAGAGCATACGGTCACCAGAGCATCCATGCCCAAAGCATAATAACATTCGTCTTCCAAGAGCATACGGTCACCAGAGAATCTTGTACTGACAAACTGAAAAGCAGCAAAAAAGACAATAATTCCGCCGTCGGCACAAAACGCACTTTTTGCACGAAACCATGGCAGGCGTGTAGGGAACAGCAGATTCCCATTAGGAAAAAAGCATCCAAGCCAAACACATGATGACGCTCGTGTTCCGAGAGCATACAGTCACCAGAGCATCCATGCCAAAAGCATAACAAGGTTCGTCTTCCAAGAGCATACGGTCACCAGAGCATCCATGCCCAACCATAGTAACGTTCGTCTTCCAAGAGCATACGGTCACCAGAGCATCCATGCCCAAAGCATAATAACGCTCATGTTCGAGTGCATGCGATTACCAGAGAATCTTGTACTGACAAACTGAAAATCAGCAAACAAGACAATAATTCCGCCTTCGGCGCAACACGCACTTTTTGCAAGAAACCATAGCAGGCGTGTAGGAAGCAACATATGCCAATAAAAAAGCAGCGCATTTTTCGCGCTGAAAGTATTGGTTTTTGCGCATTCCCATAACAATCTTCGTCTTCTACAGCCCCCAAAAACGACTATAAAATCAGTCCGAAACCACAGCAAATTATTGATTTTGAGACGAAAATGAGGAGAGAAAAGAAGCCCGCATGGTAGTACTATTACTAGTACTAGCCATCGTAATGGTAAGAGCAAGAGTAGTAGTAGTAGTAGTAGTAGTCGTAGTAGTAGTAGTAGTAGTATTGGGAGTAGTAGTAGTAGTAGTAGTAGTCACCACCAAAGAACTTCGACTGTTGCCTGGTTCAATAGACCCGATTTAGAACACTGTCCCAAACAACTAGTATGAAGGGCTGCTTGTGCAAATAGGGCATGCTCGTGGTGCTGGACATGATGCAGAAGACCATAATCGGAACACCACCCTGGCTGAGCGCCGGGCATCTGCAAGACAGGCTGGTCGCCCAAAGCTGCGATTTCGCTGCGGAGGTCTGCCAGCTCGACCGTGAACTGGTGCCTGTCTTGCCATGCCTGCCTCCCGTCAGGCAGCGACTGCCACTTGATGTCGAGATCAGCCACAAGCTTGTAGACAGCTTTGTCTGTTCTATACCTGTCGCGCTCACCCTTCTCCAGCAGGCCGTCTGCACAAAGACTGTCCAAGAACTTGTCCAGTTCCATGTCTAGCTCGGGGATTTTCTTGTAGAAGACGAAAACCTGGATGGATAAGAAATGCCTGAACCACGTGTGCAAGCTCTGACGATGTTCATAGCCCTTCCTGGGGTGATTTGTCTGGCTGCCTTTGAACTGGAAGCTCACGAGCATTACTATGTCGAGGATTTTACCCTGGATGCGGAGTGGGCTTCTCATCCACTCATGCCATCGTCCATGCTCCAAGAAGAGGTCCTTGACAAGCAAGACGCCAGTTAGCAACCTGAACCCGTTTCTTGCTGCGTCGCAGTATGCTGAGACGCTGTCGGCATGAGGAATCTCCCAAAGGGGTGGTATGAACGCTAGAAGGGCAACGAGCATTCCATTGAAGCATGCAAAGGCCACGGTAGCGAAGCCCAGCTGAATAGGATCCCAGTTATGATCACATACGGAGATGTACTTCAACATGCCGCATCGAGTCTTTGCAAACTTGCGGTAGTCAGACTCGGCATCAGGCGGGCGGTCTTCTGGGTCATTGCTCTCGCAGAACTTCCGTTCAGAGCAGGCGAGGCCCTTTAGCAAGGGCACATTTGTAACGGCCTCCAACGATGTCGTAGTAAGATGTGAAAGACATTCCTTGCACTCAGCCGTACAGTGCTGCAGGTATTCCACCGGGATCCAGGCAAGGATGCCTGCTAATGCGAAGGTGAGGAAGTAGGCCCAGAAGCTGTCCCCGCAAAAATCCATTCTGCTGCAGCGCCACCTTGCCGCGCGGCTCGACAGGTGCAACAGCTTTGCACCAAACTGAGGGCCAAATCGAGGGTCACTCACAATCACTCACAGGCCAGACACAAATTTGGACACTCCACTGCAAGATTGTGAGACAACGTGAGGCCTAGTCATACTACACACATTATGTGAAATCGTGCGCTACTTTTCTGAATCGGGCAGAGAGGTCACTCTCCTGCGTAATTTTGCAGACGCTGTCTGGGCATGGGGCCTTGTCCGAGTTGTAGGGATACCAAGCCTGGCAGCCAGGGAATGACACTGCAAAAGTCGAAGGAGAAGCATTATGGCAGAAGGGTAGAGAGGGACTGGATTAGGGCCTCTCTTCCTCCTCTCTTGTGCTTCACACGGGAATCGTCAAGCCCTGAGCTCCAATCCCAAACTGGGTTGCTGCTCAGGAACTTAAAGTAAGTTACTATAAGAAGGAAACCCCAGTATCTACGATATACCCATAAAATACGGCAACTTAAACTAAGTTCCTTACCAAACAACCAGTAAACCCCCAAACCCGTCAACCCAAACCCCCTACAGCTCCGCCTTGGGAAACTTGAATGTTGTTTAGGGTTCAGGGCAGGAACTTGAATGCTGCGGGCAACGACGTGACTTCCTGGGGCTTAGTAGGGAGTATGGGAAAATAGTAATTAAGGATTGTGTGGGGATCATCTTCCCTTATTCCATACTAAGAGTCAGTAGGGTTAGCGGGAGGTGATCTGAACTGACAGCCCTCGTGCTGCTCACCCACTCCCAACCGCAACCGCCGTGCATCATCAGAACCCTGCTCCCAAAAGCTGAAATCTGAACCCGCCCCGTCCCCCCCCCAGGTTTCTCCTTAATTTAACATACCCAAACCCCCATAATTCCCCCCTAAATTGCTTTAATGCAGGGGTTCGAAACCCCGCAAAGGCACCCCAAAATCGCTTTAAGGGGAGCCTGGAAAGGAACCCTAAACCCTGAAACCCTAAACCCCAAATACCCCCCAATATAACCCGAATACTGAGGAACCAGCATCTTCCAGCCCGTCAATCACCGGCCTCTCTGCCGCGCTGTCTGGTCCCACCGCTTATTCACGTGAATCACCTGCCGAGACTGGAGTGTGGAAAAGAGCTCGGGGGTTATAGGGCGTGATAAATTTAAAAAAAAGTCTGTAATGGGCGAGTCTGAGAAAGCTGTTGGAAGCCTCTCAGGGCTTTTTCCTTACCACGTACCTTTCGAGCTTGCAGGCCTTCGCTTTGCGAAGGATTGCTTCCAAGGACGGAGCTGACCACGTCATGGCTTGGGATTCGAGCACCTTCCAAGGCTGGGGTGCAACACGTTGCTGGATTGGCTGTGAAACAACTTAGGACACCTTCATGTGAGTGCTGGCCAGAGAGAAATCAATGAAATGCCAAGAACTTGCTTAATTACTTCAAACTCGACATACGCCAATAACTGAAGCCGCTTGGCTGTTGCTGTGCCTTGTTTGGTTGGGACACTTACATTCCCAGACGTCATCCTCAACTACCCCAATCCCTATAAACCCTACCCTTTCCCCCCTGAACGGGAATTAAACCCTAATATAACCCCAATATGACCCTAATATAACCCCAATATTACCCTAATATAACCCCAATATGGCCCCAATATGACCCCAATATTAGGTATCTACCTGAATTCTACGCATGGCATCTACGTTGCCTTGGAGGCTGGCAGCTTCTTAGGCTGCGCTCCACGATGCTTCGCGCGGGAAGCGTCAAGCCCCGGGCTCTGATCCCAAA